TGTGACTCTGTTCCTTTATTTGACTATGGGAGTAATTATCATAACATGTTGTAATTATTAATAATAGTATATTGATTTTGATAGTAATAATAAACTCATTGTAATTGAGTCAATTCCTACTCATAGCCACATTATAAGACACAGTAAAACTGCCCCAAGGCTGTAATCTTTACGGAAGCTGACTGCTTCTTCTTCCTCCCACACAGTGACTGGTGGATTCAACTTTAATATTAGCAAATACAATTCAAAGGATTTTAAATTCATTCTATTATTGGCCTACCTATTACTTGGAACAGTGTCTAGCACATAATCAATACTATAAATGCTGTCACTATTTCCTTTGGTCACTGGGATCTCTCCTCTCTATTGAAAGCACTCATGATCTGTGTACATATGTGGCACTTCAATCTATGTTGCTCTGTGAAATTTCTTGCATTGTTAACATTTCATGGTGTATACCTTTTCCATTGAATTAGCATCCTGGGGGACATTTACTTTGCCTATTCCATACTATGTAGCAAAATACTAGGTAGGCACACAGTCAATAGCTATTTATAAGATTATAAACAAAACATAATTTGAGTGCTAGATAATTTCCAGAGGGCTTCTATTTCTAGGAAAGGATGCTGATTACTCAGCAAGATATACATTATCACTTTTTTCCAGGGTTTTAACTATCTAAAGTAAGAAACACGATGTTGCTCTTCAGAGCAACCACATTGGGATCAATTGTGCTGACAAACAATGCATTCCCCAGAGGTCCTGATTCTGAAGAGATTAATGTTGCCTTTGTTGCCATCTTTAGGAACAAAAGTTAAATAGATATTTGAGAAAAACAATCCAGAGAAACCGGGTGAGGAAGTTGCAAGGGGAGCTTGAAACAGAAGTCAACAACAGGCTAAGGAGAGATGAAAAAATAGGGTTGAATTGCGTCTTTTTAATTGAGTGGACTGCAAAAGTGATCTCCAAGCTTTCTCCCAAATCTATCATTAAAGTGGTCTTAGATTTATATTGTTGTTGTTGTTATGTGCCGTCGAGTCGGACCCGACTCATAGCAACCCCTCCTTGGGTTTCCAAGGCAGTATCACTATGGAAGTAGATTGCCCCATCTTCCTTCCAAGGAGTGGCT